ATATCGACGACCATCCACGCATACAATCATCTACCTACACAACCATCTCTACTCACGCATGCATGCTCATACACACACGCCAATCCACCCACTCTCCCTCCCACCATGTACATTCAGATAGACCTATGATATAAACTTTTTCTCTCTTTTTTGCTTTTACTGATTTATTTGAAAATAATTAATTTCATTTTTAATTTACTAATTATATTATAAGCGAAGAAAAATGAATGCTGTTGAAAAATGATGAAATATTAGAGGGAAAAAAAGGATGATGATCGAATTGTAAAAATGAACATTTGAAATTTATATTGAAAAAAAATGAAAAATGAACATTTGAAATTTAAATTGAAGAAAAAGACTGTCACGATGATACTATGGATGATTGAAAAAAAGTGATGAATGTGAAAATTTCATACATTTATTTCTTTATTTCTATTTCGCATAAGATTTATTATTATTGTTTTATCAACATGAAACTGAAATTGTTTGAGATAAACTAATATTGTTTACAGTTTATTATGTATAACTTCGCCTTTCTTTTACTATTATTTATCGTAATTATCCTGATTATTGTGATTACGTTGTCTCTTTCTTTCATAACATTGATTATGATAAACATACTTTTCCTTACTACATTTCTTCATTTCCTTATTTCTTTTCCCTATTTTTTTTTTTATATTTCAATTTTAACCTAAAATAGTAAAAAGGTAATTTAACTAATTATATTACAATTTCCTCATCACTCATTTTACCCCTATATTTTTCAATATTTCAATTCCAAGCTAAGATAGCAAAAGGATAATTTAAATAATTATACTTCCTGATTATTGTGATTACATTGCCATCTTTCATATCACTGATTATAATAAATATTCTTTTCCTTACTACAATTCCTTCATTCGTTCATTTTCTTTGTCTTTCAATTCTAACCTAAAATAGCAAAAAGATAATTTAAATTATTATACTTCTTACTAAAATGCCTACAAAGAAAGAATGATGAAATTACAACGAAAAAGAAATGATTCATTCATTATTTTTTACACAGTTAATTTTTTTTTTGCTGAAAATATTAAATTGAATTGTATAATTATTATTGATAATAAATATTTAATTGAATTAATATATGCTAATTAATTTTATTAAGAATATTTTAATTTTTTTATAAAAAATTTTTTAGAAATAATATTTTACATGTAACTGTTGAAATTAGCTGAAATCTTTTATACAATAATTCGATTTTTTTCCACATCGTTGTATTCCAACACTTCAACACTTCAGCTATTCTCTCAATTAAATTATTAGTAAAAATTATAAATGAGATAATTACGGAATAAAATGAACATTTGATTTACCACACTATGATTTTATGTTTGCTATGATGAAAGCTCATTAATTTAGCACTATTCAACAGCAACAACAACAACAACAACAACAGGAAAACAAAACCGGAAATAACATTTCAAACAAAAATTTAGGACGATAAAAGAAATTTTGTTTTTTTTTTCAAATTAAAATTATCCAAATTGAAGTATTTTAATTTTTGTAAATGATAAACTCTCTTATCTGTCAACAACAAGAAAAACACGAATAACGAATGTAAAACGATTGAATATATAACAACGATGAGAAAAGAATTAGGATAATTCCATCAAAAATTTATGCTAATTTCAATTGTTAATAATATCATTGAATAGTATAAGATTTTTTTTTTTTTGAAAATATTCACATAAAATTATAATTAAAATTTTATTAAACAAAATTTCCAAACTTAACAAAAATAAAATTTTAGCAAATTATTTGAGCGAATTCAAATTTGGAATTTCGCAAATTTTTAAATTACATTAAAATTTGAAATCTTAATCCTATTCTCTTTCAAATTTTTTTTATCATTGATTATCATAGAGAGGAATGAATGACAACGAAGTCATTATCAGATATAATTTATAAAGAGGAATGACATTGAACTTTGTAACCTTGAAATTTCATCTCTGAAAAAAAAGGATGTTTGAGGATTCTATTTGGTCCATAATCAAGGTCATTTCTTTATTGCAAATTTAATATTTCAACTGAAATAGTCAATTTATCGGTTAGAAATTTTAATATGAAAATTTTAAATTTTGCCACTTTTCAAATGAAATATTCAGATATTGTTTTTTCTAAAAAAAAAAAGAGATTTTAATTAGCAAATTAAATAAATGAGTTTGAAAATTATAATAAATTGAATTGAAATTCATTTATAGAATTATCAGAAAATTTTAATTAATTATAATTGATGAAGAAAGATAATTATAATTAATGACAAATCACGAAGGAAAGAACTGAGAGAGGAAAAACGAAAATAGAAATCTTTGAGAGAAGAAAAAAAACCTACGAAAATTTTGTAATTAAATGAATTTAACCAAAAATGCAAATATAACTTTCTCATTTTCGATTCGTTTTAATTTATGTTATTATTATGCTTAAATTCATTTCCAATTTTTAAATTAAATTCATTTCCAATTTTTAAGTAATAAATTAAATTCATTTCCAATTTTTAGGAAATGAATTTAATTCAAATTATTTCTTCCTCTATCAAACAATTTTTTAGTATTAAAACAAAATGGTTCCATTGTCTTTCGTTATATTTTGCCCAAATTCATTTTTCATTGATAATCTTCGACAAAAATTTCTTATTGAAAGGTAAAATAAAATTGTAAAAGTAAAAAGTGAATAATTGAAATTAATAAAATAATTTAAAAGAAAAGATTCATAAAGTTTATTATAATTTTTTTTTGTAAAAATAAAATGATAGAAAAATTAAATGAATTTAAATTTTTATTGACAGATAGGAAAATCCGAAATTTGTCATAAGTGGAGCGAAAAATTTTTTCGTATTTCTTCAATGATTACATCGTCGTTTCCTTTTTCTCAAATCAATTTCAACCAAAATGATCGAAAATGTTTTTGAAAAGAAAACAAAATATTCTTCAAACAAATAAAATAGTAATTGATCAAAAAATTCTATTACATTTTCAAATAATTTCTAACAAAATTTATTTTCGTTCATTTCCTTCAAACTATTGCTATTTTGTTGCATAATAAAGTTAATTAATAAAAATATCAAATTTTAGCAATTAATATTGTATTGTTTTTTTTGTTTTTTGAAAGAGGACGAAGGAAATTGTTATTTGAGAATGAGAATGATAATTTTAAATTAATTGAAATCATTTCTTTCTTATTTTAATTATATATTTCATTTTGCTTTTGTTTCAAGAAGATTAATAATCTTCTCAAAGCTATTTCTATTTACTCATCAAGAAATCATGAAAATATTGTATTGTATTTATTGAATAAAAATTAGGAACCGAATTTTACAAAATTGACGATAAACGTATAATTTAGATTTAGATCATGCGAAATTAATCATTTAGAATAAAGTTTTAGATGAAAGAAATATGATTAATTAATTAAGATAAGATCGTTTAGCTTTTTTTTTTCTTTTACCTCGTTTCATCATTTAGCATAGATGAATTTGTTAAATCAATGTGATCCAAATTCTTGAACCAATCGGTAAGATCTGTAGAGCATTGATTTACTCGTGTTTGTATAATATTGGAGCAACCATGATTTAATGAATAACTTCTTGTTTCGTCATGTTGTACTAATGATGAGATCGAAAACGGTGATTGATCAATGGATGGAAATGTGACAAAGTGATCGAATGGATCATCGAAGGTTTCTTCGGTGGTAATAGGATATTCAGTACTTTCACTGAACGTAGTTTGTTGAATAAGTGTTGTAGTAGTTCGAATCTTCTCATCTGATAAATCCTGACAATCGGCTTCACCATCATTAATCCAATCTTGAGGAATGCAGGAACCATCACCACATCGGAATGTATTCGTCGGGCAATGATGTTGGCGTGTGATAGAATTTTCACTCTTTACTATTGTTTTGGAGGGAACTTGTACAGCAGCGGTACCCAAATTGTGACCAGTAATGCCCGGTATTTGAGCTCCTACACCAGAATTTAATTGAATATTCGCTGTATCCGAAATTGCAGGATGTTGGGTAACGGTGGCCAAACATAGTGATGGCAAAATTAGGAATACAGAAAAAAATAATCTTTTTTCCGGAAATTGCACCGTTTTTGATGATAACAATAAAATTGACGAAAGCGATAACGACAACGACGACAGAATCATAATAATAATTTTATAAGGAACTGTTGCTGCTACTGTTGATGGCCACTATCACACATCACATCGGCATTTCATTCACCGCAAACCTTACGGCACACACCAGAAATTCAGCAACTGTCATCTCTATCTATCGATGGGTCGGTCGTTTAGTTGATGACAAAATCACCGCGACGGCCCTGAGGGGGAAAAACCTTCAACAGTGTTATTACTTTCTGAACAAATGGGCCATCTTTCCCCGCCCATTTCAACCGATCGACTGATCGGTGAGTGACCCTACAATTCTCCCTCTTCCATTTTTAATGATTCAGATAACAGAGTCAAAAGGATAAAAATACATCCATCCTTCTCCTCTTCCACTTGCAGGATTACAACTAATAGTAGGATAATAATGGTTATTATCATCAATGAAGTTGTTGTAATTCGTGATGATGAAAATTGGTAAGATAACAGAAGAGATTAAATGGCTTAGATGAATGAGGTTGATATATGCTCAGGCCTGGACAATTGATATTAAATTAAGAATTTAATCGTTCTTTGGTTGCTTATCTTTTTTTATGATAGATTTTCAAATTATTCCCGATCTTTTTCAAATATAAATGCAACAAAAAAGAATGAATTCAACAGAGAACAAATCAATTCAATAAATAAGATTTGTATCACTTTTATAATATTATTGCAAAAATAAAAGAAGATCTGAAATATGCAAATACTTTCTTTAAGTTAGTATGAATATGTCGTTGTTATATTTGACAAATTTAAATTTCGATTGAATTGAAATTTAGTGAAATAAATTTTCTGATGCTAAAAAAGTTAAGTCACGTTGTTTTACACTAATACAAAATTATTTATGGCTATCATAATGCCGCATTTCGAATGAAGCCACTTTATACAGTAATACTTATCGATAATCTCCTTCAATTCTTAAAATTAATTATCGATTAAAAAAAATTTAAAAA